TAAAACTATGTCCCCTCGTGCTAGCCATCACCATCCGAGGAAAAAGGCTCCCATTGTCCACCCTATCTAATCCTCCGATCATCTTGTATGTCTCTATTAAGTCACCTCTTAACCTTCTTCTCTCTAACGAAAACAGCCTCAAGTCCCTCAGCCTTTCCTCATAAGACCTTCCCTCCATATCAGGCAACATCCTGGTAAATCTCCTCTGCACCCTTTCCAATGCTTCCACATCCTTCCTATAATGCGGCGACCAGAACTGTACGCAATACTCCAAGTGCGGCCGCACCAGAGTTTTGTACAGCTGCAACATGACCTCATGGCTCCGAAACTCAATCCCTCTACCAATAAAACCTAACATACCGTACACCTTCTTAACAACGCTATCAACCTGGGTGGCAGCTTTCAGTGATCTATGCACATGGACACCGAGATCTCTCTGCTCATCCACACAATGAAGATGATCATATAAGCCTTGATCTCATTGAATGACGGAGCAGACTTGATTGGTTGAATGGCCTACTTTTGTCTTATGATCTTATGGTGATGAGTAATAGGTTGAAACTTTGTTTTTCTGGGTGCTTTAAGATTTTTATAGCAACATTTTATCTATTTTATCTCGATATCTTGTTTTTGTCTTTTATGTTATAACTGTCTGTTCTGTTGTTATATGAAAACCTGCATCCTCATGAGAGTATGTTTCAGTGAGTAATCTTTCAGGCCAGATTTACTCTGGGATGTGACTTGTCCAGTGGCACTGTCAGCTGAGATCTTAACAATTCTTTGAAATTGGTAAAAATTGAGAGCTTGTTGGTAAAATCTTCCATTTTCGTTGGGCATCTCATCTACTTGCTTGAGTAGTGGCAAGACACCCAAGCAGACTATTCTGAGCAACGTCTCAAGTATCCTCCTCCATTCGGGCAGTTTAGCAAGCAGCAGCAGTCCTTTCTGAGAAATTAAGTCTCTGGGGGCAGAAGCCCAGCCCAGTAAAAAGGCCAATCAGAGAGAACATTAAAGATGGACTGGTAAATTGCAAGTGATAATCATACAAAATACACAGCAGGCATATACTATCTCCAAGATGAAAATCTCGCCATCTCTGCTTTGACGGTCAGTGACATTGCCATCACTGAAACCCCCACCATCAACATCTTGAGGTCTAGTATTTACCAGACATTTACTGAGCTGCCATGATGGCAAGACCAAGTGAAAGTCTAGGAATTCTGTAGCAAGTAGCTCCCCTCTGACAGCTACCCCAAAACCGAACTCTAACTGTAAGATACGTGTATGATGGAATACTCTTCACATGCTTGGATGAATGCAGCTCTAACAACATTCAAGAAGTTCAGATTCACCTTCCACAATGTAATGTGCTTCAAAAAACAGGTTAGAGGCTTCATCAGAACTGAGGAAAGGTAGGCATATTACAAGGTTTGAACAAGTGAATTGGCAAAGGGGAGAGGAAGAGAACAAAGGATAATCTCATGGGTGAAGATATTAATTAACAAATGATTTTATGGTAATGGCTAAACTAAATAAAAGTTGTGTACAAGTTGGATATATGGCTTCAAAGCAACTGTCTGAATGCAAGACGAAAGAATGAAGAAAGAAATAAGAAAATCGAAGCAGCAACAAAAATAATCAAGATAAAGGTAGAGGTTTTGATGTAAAACTGTTGCATTCAGTGTTGACTCAATTTATGAGGTCTTTGGCAATGAATATTTCTATTGTCCTGGAAAGTCACATTCTCTTGCAGCACAGGAACTGGATAATCTCCCAGAAGCTTTGTCTTTAGTGGAAGATCCTGTGCTGAACATATAACCTCCCAATCCTTCCTACTCCTCAACTCCTACCCTGACCTCCTGATGTACTGGGTTCTGTTCTTCCTGTGGAATATCTCATTTGTGATTGCTACTGACTTGAAATCTGATGATCATGCAATCATTGCCAACTTCAGCCTTTCTTAACCTCATACGCTAATCACTTCTCCATTCATGAAATTGGCCTTGATCAGGATTATCACAGTCCAGGGGCATGAAAACTTCCGACAATGCCTGAGCACTTACTGTTTGCTGTTCTGACCCACGTAATGCTTAAATGGCACTGGCTTTCCAATGGCCAAGTCCCCGTCTACTCTATTTACCCCTTTCTAGGTCCATGGTAATTTCTTAGAGTTGAGTGACAGTCACCCTATATATGCCTTCTTTCACCTGTTTGCAATAAGCAATATGTAAAATCTGTGTGCTTCCATGAAAATATCCACAAATCCTGTTAATGAACTCTTAATGACCTCCTTAAACACTTTAATTAGCCTTAATTCAAGGATTGTAGGGTTGATTAACATGACTAGTGCTGGAAATGGTGTCATGAAACATGCATGCCAGCCAGTGCTGGTATTTCTGGAACCATTCTCTTCTTTTACTGCCTTCAATGTAACTAGAAAATTCAGCCCAAAGGTCAGTCATCACCTATAGAGAAAATATGCAGTATCATTTTGAGTGTAGACCTTTCATCAGCACTGAACCTGAAATATTCATTTATCTTCCCTCTTGCATGGAAGCAGAACAAGTTCTGTTGTTTCTGACATTTTATGGAACCTTTTTAAATTTACAGTATTCAATGCTTTTTTTCCCATTAAGGACCTATTAGAAGGAGGTGTATAAAGATGCAAAGTTACCTTGAAAGCAGAATGGAAATAATATAGTTTACTTGGAGGGGGTGCAATTCGTGTCATCCCTCATAAAGAGTTTGGTGTTAGAGGGCATTTAATCAGGCTAGAGAGTGCTGTGTGGATACTCTGCTGCCTTTCCACTTCGACTGATGAAGTCCATATGTGGGGAGCATGACAACTCAACAAACAAGTCGCAGCAGGACTGCTTGCAGGGTCCCATGGTTGTGGTGGGTTCAGTGGTGCGGTGTGGGAGGGGCCTTCTTTCAAAGCCATCCGTCTTTGCATTGAGGGATTTGGTATCAGGAAGGTGAGGTCCATTGACAGAAACACCCCTTCCAATTTCACTTGACCTGAGGCCTGGGATCCATTGACAATACCGGGGCTCAGCTGGTTGTTGTACTGGCTGCATTGGCAGCTTTTGCCAGATGCTACCAAGAAAGGTCTGCTACTGCCTAGGTAACTGCTTGTCAGCCTTCTGTAAAAGAGGTAATGTGGGCTCTCGTTGGCTGTCCAGCCAGCCGTTGAGGCCCTTGTCACTTTCATTAAATACAGCCGCATCTTCAGAAAATAGGTTCCACATCAGGGGGTTAAAGTACAGAATTGTTTTATGGTCTTGCAGCTTTTAACAACATTAGACTTGCATTAAAATTTATCCTGCCCCCTCAGAACCAAGGTGAGTAATTACAAATATTGTGAAACACATAGAAACATAGGAAATAGAAGCAGGAGTAGTCTATTTGACCCCTTGAGCCTACCCCACCATTCAATATGGTTGTGACTAATCATCGAGCTCAATATCCTAATCCTGCCATCTCCCCAGATCTATTGATCACTTATTCGCAAGAACCGTTTCCTTCTTGAAAGCACATCATGTTCTGGCCTCATCCACTTTCTGTGGTAGTGAATTCCACAGGCTCACCATCCTCTGGGTGAAGAAATTTCTCCTTGTCTCAGTCCTGAAAGGTTTATTTCTTATCCTTAATCAATGACCCCTGGTTTTGGATTTCCCACCATCAGGAACCTGCTTCCTGTATCTACTTTTGTCTAGTCCTGTTAAAATTTTACAGGTTTCTGTGAGATACCCCCTCATTCTTCAAAACTCCAAGGAATACAGTCCCAACCAACTAAATCTAATTGAGTGGAGGTGATGGTCTAGTGGAATTATTGTTAGATTATTAGTCCAGAGAGCCTGGTCATGTTCTGGGAACCTGGGTTTGAATCCTGCCAAGGTACCTGGTAGAATTTGAATTCAAAAGATATCGGGATTGTTGGAAAAACCCATGTGATTCACTAATGCCCATTAGGGAAAGGAAATTGTTGTTCTTATTTGGTCTGACCTCCATGTGACTCTAGACCCATATCAATGTGGTTGACACTGGTAATAAAAGCTGTCCTGGCCTTTGACATCCACATCCTGTGAATGAACAAAAAAAAAAGCCTCTCCTGTTATGGTCAGTCATGCCATCCCAGGAAGCAATTTGGGAAGTCTTCATTGTACAAGAACATCCTTCCTCAGAATATTTTTTATTCATTTATGGGATGTAGGTGTCACTAGCTGGACCAATATTATTGTTCATCCCCAACTCCCCAGAGGGCAGTTAAGAGTCAACCACATTGTTATATGTCTGGAGTCATGTGTAGACCAGACCAGGTAAGAATGGCAGATTTCCTTCCCTGAAGGACATTAGTGAACCAGATTGTTTTCTTTCCTGACAATTGGCAATGGTTTCATGGTCATTACCAAACTTTTATTTCAGATTATTATTAAATTCAAATTCCACCATGGCAGGATTCAAACCCACGTCCACAGAACATTGCCTGGGTCTCTAGATTACAGGTAGTTCTCCAATAACGCGATAGTTACGTTCTTGTGTGACCTGTAGAAAATTGGCAAGAACATCGCGTTCTAGGAAAATCGCTATAGAAAATCGCTATACCTGCACAGCAGAGAGTTCACTTTGTCTAAACAGCATCCACTATTCATTAATTGTGTCACCTACCCTTTAAAGGGATAGATACCAAAACAGTGCACAATATTTCAGGTGTGGTTTCACCAATGTCATGTTGCAGCAAGACATCCTTGTTCCAGTAGTCGAATCCTCTTGCTATGAAGGCCAACAATAAATTTGCCTTCTTTACTGCCTAACTGAGCACTTATTTCTAATTATTTATATGACTACGTAGAATCACAGAAGTTTATCACACTGGGAAAGATCAATCATGTCTGAAGAGATGCTCAATTTAGTCCCAACCTTTTCCCTATAATCTTGCAAATTAGTTCTCTTCGAGTACATGTATAGGTTTAACAGTGCTATTTGCTTTTGTTTCATAGAGGAAGAGAGATCTTTAAAGGCAAATGACAGAAATTTCAATATGAAATTCCATTATGTGGTGAGTAGACTTAAACCTTTGAATTTTGAAAGCACATCCTCGATGTGGGTTGTTGTATTGAATAGTTTGGCATTGAACTGAGAAAATGCAAGGTATGATATCTCGTACACTGGCAGTAAAATAATGGGTAAAAATATAATATTCCATGATTTCCAAAATAACCAGAAATCGATCAGTCTCAGGCTTGAATATGCTCAGTGACTGAGCATCCACAAATCTCTGGGGTGTAGAACTCCAAATGAACACAATTCTTTGAGTGAACAAAATTCATCAATTCAGTTTTAAAGCGCTGATTCCTCACTCCACACTCTAAACACCACAGCTAGGAAATCATCCTCCCAGTAAATAATCTATCAGTCCCTTATCAATTTTATATATTTCAGTGAGGTCACGTCTCACAACCTGTGACCTGATCTCCTGGGAAGTGACTACCTCCTCAATGCTAAATGGATCCCAACAAATGGTGAATCCATGCAGTTACAGGGAAATTGCAGCAATGGGGTAAGTATCCTGATTGAGGCCTTAATTGGTCTGCCCACCCTCGTGAGCCAAGTTATGCATTAGCAACTGTAACCATTGCCCAGAGATGGAACAGCTTTTTATTCAGGGAGTGAGTGGAGCATTCGAATTGAGCTTTCTGCTGCTTTGCTAGCCCAATGCAGGCTTCAAATCTATCTTCATGAGGCTGGGCACACTCAGCCCATATTTGTTCATTTATTTATACAGAGACAACAAAGCTAAATCTTATTTTTACAAGCATTATATAGATAAGAAATAATAATTGATCAACTCTATAATAGGATAGGCAAAAACTGTTGTAAGATTTCTGTCAATAATTTATAACAAAAATAAGGCATTCATTTGTTTGTTTGAAGGTCCTCCCTTATATTTTATTACTGTGCATAAGAATAAATAAACAAAATAATCTCTCCACTTTTCTATAGTTGTTAAATGACATTGTATGCAGCCTCCACAGGAACATTGAACTTATTGTGAGATACTATAATTTGAAATGTTTGTATTTGCATTATTTATTTTCACACACTTAACAAAACTTGTTTTTCTTTTCAGAACAATCGAATTAAAACGTCCAAATATAACATTTTCACATTCTTGCCAATCAACTTGTTTGAACAGTTCCAACGAATTGCCAATGCTTATTTTTTATTTTTACTTGTTTTACAGGTAAGAATTCAACTACACCTGTGTTTGTGCTTTTGGTTTGGTATTGATTTTTTGCCAGTCACGTTTTCTGTTCATTTCTGTCTTAAATGTGCAACCACTTATTTGGAGGTGATGACTTCTGGTCCTAGGTTCATACGCGGAAGAAACCATGCATCGACCCTGTCAAGTCCTTGAAGAATCTTGTATGTTTCAATAGGATCACATGTCATTCTTCTAAATTCCAATGAATACAGGCCCAGCCTACTCAACCTCTCCTCATAAGAAAATCCTTCCATACCTGGTATCAGTCTAGTGAACCTTCTGTAGATTGCCTCCAATGTAACTATATCTTTCCTTAGATAAGGGGTCCACAACTGTTCATAATATTCCAGCTGTGTATTGACACAGTCACCTACTTTTGCTTCTGCAAGGTGCTTCAACTGCAGCTTGAATTGACTGTGGGGCAAACTGTTGCTTTTTTTGATGCGGAATAGCCACAACCTTTTGGTACTTGAGCCTACTGGGATTTGGCACATTCGGGGCCATTTGTTTCAGTGCAGGTGCTACCTTAGTCACTAAAACCTCAAACAGCATTGTTGTCATTGTTGAGGGCTTTGAGGATCTGCCTTCAACTATTGAAGTGCCTTATGAGGGGCTCCCTTTGGCTTCAACCTGGCATTCCATGCCATTTCAGGTCCTATATGTGTTTCCTCAGTTGACTAGATTAATTTATCTCCAAGAGCTCCATCTTGCCTACTCATTGTTCCATCGATCTCATGAATGGTGCTACGTTGTGGAAGTCTCTGTACAGTCCTTGCATTCACTTGGGGCTACTCCACATGTGTCTCCAAGAGGGTCACCTCTCAGTGCCTCTCATTTTCTAAATGGAGGAGACCATGCAGTCAAATGCTGTAGAAATTTCGCTCTTAATGGCATGGATGGACTTCTCCAAGGTTTCGGCAAAAGATTGACCTGCCTTTGGAAACTCCCATCAGAAGGTCATGTGTTTGATGCCGCAACTGAAACATCAGTAGTTTTGCTGATGATACTCAAGGCTCACCATTTACATGATGATGAACATTACTATGCCTTCCCTCTTAAGTACTTGTAACTCTTCCTGCCTTGATTATTTCCAATGTTGCATGTGTGCACTGTGCACCAAGTTGTGACATCTGTTTTGTTTGCACAGCAACTATTGAGCAAATGTCTGTACTCGTGCAGGTTCTGTTGGAATAAAGTACCCTACTGTCTTGTGATACTATTGTGTGCTCTGATCTTTCCATTGTAGATGGAGTGCTCATCTCTTACTTGGTGCTGTACCTTTTGGGGGAAGGTGGTAGCAAAGAGTTCAAAGTATTTTATGCTTTTGTAGTTTGAGTGTTTTTTAGTATTTTGAAAACGCTGTTCTGTCATCCAAGTGCAGCTTTCACCTATCACTGACCATGAGGTTTGAGCACATGTGATCTATCCACCTCAATATGGATGTTGGTGCTTGGTGTGGTCCATGCATGGATTAACCACTTGGCTTCACATTTCACAGATGCCTCTTAATCCATGCTGTGTTTTATTTGTCTCTTAGCACCACTCACCTTTTCAGGTAGAATTAAAACGCTTCCTGTACTGATAAGTGACAAGTAACGTATGGGTTTCGTCTGACTGACAGGGCGTGATGATACTGCAGAGGTCTATGCTAGAGTCTCAATATTTTGTAATTTACATCAATGGCTTGGATGAGGGGAGTGAAGGCATGGTATTTCAACTGAACAAAATAAGTGACAGCCATTGCTGGTAATTCCTCAGAGCAATGTTCTGACCAGTCAGAATCAACCTGCCTACTTTAAAATTTCAACAGAGCCTGGCAGTTAACTGAAATCAACATATTTTGGTGGGTTTGTCAAGACAACTCCTCTATCAATCTCAGTCCATTTGACAATCAGTCAGCAAGGTCCTCTCGTGTGTATTTAAATATTGGTTTTTTCATTGAATTGGTATTCTTGCAAATATCCTCAATGAATTCATGACAATAAAACATTGACAGAAATGTATCTTTTTTAGCAAAAATTGAAAATGTTATGACCTGATCCCCGGTGAGCATTCCTAAATTTGTTATGTTTTCAGGTGAGATATCCCAAACTCTTAAGCTCCCAGTTGAGGACGGGTGAACCATTGTGTTTGCAAGATACCAAATAAAGAATTATCAAAGCAGTTCCAAATAAAACAGTCGTATCAATTTATTCTCATTTCAGTGGCTCAAATGTTTAATGAATTATCATGAAGGGATCATGCTGTACTAATTTACCAGCGCCCAAATTAATCATAGTACAGTCAAATCTGATGCTGAATAGATTATTTACCTAGAATTTGTGTGTAATATGACTCTAATGTAATTACTTTTTAAAAATTCAAGCAACTTCAGCTACTGACTATCATTTGTTACACTTCGGTGCTTCCACAGCAGAAAAAGTAATTCCTCTTTTAACAGTTATTTGCAAGATATTTTTATTATTTACTTTGGATGTATTAAATGTACTGCATTTACTTCTTTCAGCTTATTCCACAAGTATCATCTCTGTCTTGGTATACCACAGTTGTACCCTTAATGCTGGTGTTGATAATAACGGCAGTGAAAGATGCCATTGATGATTATGTAAGTTCTTTTTACAATTCAATATCTTGATTTACTTTGTGAAAATAACCTCCATGTTCAGTGATTTGGCTGAATTTCATTTACAAATCTATTGGAAGTTCAGCTACGTAAATACTGTTTTCTAAGAGTTTCATGGCTTTTCAGCTGAAGGAACATAGATTTTACACCACAGAAACTACCCATAAGAACAAGGCAAAGAATTGCAGATGCTGAAGATCTGAAACAAAAACAGAAATTGCTGGAGAAGCTCAGCAGGTCTGGCAACATGTTTCAAGTCCAGTGACCCATTTTTCGCTGGACTTGAAGTGTTAACTCTGCTTTCTCACCACAGATGCTGCTGGATCTACTGAGCATCTCCAGCTCTTTCTGTTTTTGTTACTGAAACTGGCAATTTGGATTTTAAAACTTCATTCAACCCTACTAATTCTGTTAGCATATCCTTCCAATCAATCTTTCCTTCTGTATTTTTAAAATAATTAGCTTCCCTATAAAAACATCTATGCTATTCATCTCAATAATACATAGTATCCATTTGGAGCAAGTTCCATATTCTAGCTACTGTCTGAATAAATAAATTCCTCCTTAGATTCATTATTGATTACCTTGTATTTTGATGTTCCCCCACTGGAGAAACATCTGCACTATCTGTAGGATTTGCAGTCCTGCCACATCTAGTCTTGAGTAGTGGTGGGCAATTAAACTGTTCATTAGAGGAGGAGACTCCACAAATATACCCATCCTCAATAATGTGTTGCCCAGCATATCAAAACAAAAATTAAAGCTGAAGCATTTGCAAAAATCTTCAGCCGGAAGCACCAAGCGGATGGTCAGTCTCGACCTTCTCCTGAGGTCCTCAGTATCACAGATGGTAGTCTTCAACCAATTTAGTTCACTATTTGTGGTGTTAAGAAACAGTTGGTGGCACTGGAACTGCGCAACCTATGAGCCGTGACAATATTCTGGCAATTGTACTGAAGACTTTGCTCCAGAACTTGCCGCGCCACTAGCCAAGCTGTTCCAGTATGCCTACAACATGGGTACCAACATGATCATGTAGAAAATTGTTCAGGTATTCCCTGTACAAGAAAAGCAGGTCAAATTCAACCCAGCCAATTACTACTTCATTAGTCCACTCTTGATAATCAGTAAAGGCATGGAAGTATCACCAGTAGTGCTGTCAAGTCGCACCTCAGCAATAACCTGCTCAGTCATACCCAGATTGGGTTCCACCAGGGCCACTAAGCTCATGACTTCATTATAGCCTTGTTTCAACATGGACAAAAGAGCTGAATTCCAAAAGTGAGATGAGAATGACTGTCTTGACCAAGTATGGCATCTAGGAGCTCTAGCAAAACTGAAGCGAATGGAAATCAGGGGGAAACCTCTCTGGTTGGAATCATACCTGGCACAAAGAAGAATGATTGCAGTGGTTGGAGATGAGTAATTTCAGCTCCAGGTCATCTCTGCAGGAGTTCCTCAGGTTAGTGTTTTTAGCCCAACTATCTTCAGCTAGTTTACCTTCCTTCCATCTGAAGACTGTGCAGTGTTCAGCACTATTTATGACTCTCCAGATGTTGAAATAGTTCATGCCCAAATGTACCAAGACCTGGACAATTTCCAGGCTTGGGCTAACAAGTGGCAAGTAACATTCATGCCACACAACTGCCTGGTAATATACCAATACCATACTAACAAGAGAGAATTTAACTATCCAGATTGGTAGTGGATCACAAGAAAAGGTATTTGTGGAATGTCTATGACATGGGTTTTTGGAGCAGCTTGTGGTGGAGCCCACTAGGGAACAGGCAATTCTGGATTAGTGATGTGTAGTGAGGCAGACTTAGTAAGGGAGCTCAGGGTGAAGGAACCCTGAGGAGGCAGTGACCATAATATGATAGAATTTACTCTGCAATTTGAGAGGGAGAATCTGGAATCAGATGTAATGGTATTACAGTTGAATAAAGACAACTACAGAGGCATGAGGAAGAGCTGACCAGAATTGACTAGGAGAGGAGGGTAGCAGGAAAGACAGTGGAATAGCAGTGGCAGGGATTTCTGGGAGTAATTCGGGAGACACTGCAAAAATTCATCCCTAGGAAAAAGAAGCATTCCAGAGGGAGGATGATGCAACTGAGGCTGACAAGGGAAGTCAGGGACAGCATAAAAGTAACAGAAAGCATATAATACAGTGAAGGGCAGCGGGAAACCAGGGAATTGGGAAGCCTACAAAAACCAACAGAAGACAACTAAAGAAGAAATAAGGAAGAAGAAGATTAAATATGAGGGTAAGCTAGCCTGTAATATAAAAGAAGATTACAAGAGTTTCTTTAGATATATAAAGGGTAAAACAGAGGCAAAAGGAGACATTGGGCTGCTGGAAAATGATGCTGGAGAAGCAATAATGGGGAACACAGAAATGGCAGAGCAACTGACCAAGTACTTTGTGTCAGTCTTCGCAGCAGAAGACATGTGTAACATCCCAAAAATTCAAGAGAGTCGGTGGGGGCAGAGGTGAGTATGGTTACCATCACCAAGGAGAAGCTGCCAGAAAAAATGAATGGCCCAAAGGTGGATAAATCACCAGAACCAGATGGACTACTCCCCAGATTTCTGATGGAGATAGCTGAAGAGATAGTAAGAGGCATTAGTGGTGATCTTTCAGGAAGTGCTGCAGTCAGGGAGGGTCCCAGAGGACTGGAAAATTGATAATGTAACCCCCGTTTAAGAAGGGGGTAAGGCAAAAGACGAGAAATTACAGGTCGATTAGCCTGACCTTTGGTTGTTGATAAGATTTTGGAGTCCATTGTGAAGGATGAGATTTCTGAATACTTGGAAGTGCATGGTAAAACAAGGCAAAGTCAGCATGATTTCATCAAGGGGAGGTTATGCCTGACAAATCTGTTAGAATTGTTTGAGTAGGTAATGAGCAGGTTAGACAAAGGAGAACCAATGAATGTTAATTACTTGGACTTCTAGAAGGCCTTTGACAAGGTTTTGCACAGGAGGCTGCTCAGTAAGATAAGGGCCCATAATGTTAGAGGCAAGGTACTAGCATGGATAGAAGATTGCTTTCTGGCAGGGAGCCAGAGTGGGGAGAAAATGGTCCTTCTCGGGATGGCAGCCGGCGATTAATGGAGTTTGGCAAGGGTCAGTTTTGGGACCACAACTTTTCACATTATATGTTAATGATCTAGGTGAAGGAACTGAGGGCATTCTGGCTAAGTTTGAAGATGATATAAAGATAGGTGGAGAGACAGATAGTACCGAGGAGGCGGGGAGGCTGAAGAAGAATTTAGACAGGTTAGGAAAGGGGCAAAGAAGTAGCAGATGGAATGCAACGTGGTAGGAAGAACAGGGGCATAGACTGTTTTCTAAGTGGGGAGGAAATTCTGAAATTTGAAGTGCAAAGAGACTTGGGAGTCCTAGTCCAGGATTTTCTGAAGGTAAACTTGCAGGTTGAGTCGGTAGTTAGGAAGGCAAATGCAATGTTTGCATTTATATCAAGAGAACTAGAATTCAAATGCAGGGATGTACTTCTGAGGCTTTATGCGGCTTTGTCAGACCATGTTTAGACCATTGTGAGCAATTTTGGGCCCTGTATCTCAGGAAGGATGTACTGGCCCTGGAGCGGGTCCAGAGAAGGTTCACGGGAATGATTCCAGGGATGACAGGCTTAACATATGAGGAGCGTTTGAGGACTCTTAGTCTATACTCAATGGAGTTTAGAAGGAAGAGGGGGCATCTATTTGAAACATACAGAATACTGAAAGGCCTGAATAGAGTGGACATTGGGAAGATGATACAAAGATAGGTGATCTAGGTCAGGGACTAGGTCAGATGGAACGTTTGGTCGGCACAGACGAGTTGCACCACAGGGTCTGTTTTAAATTTATAAAATGGGCAGCTCAGTGGTTAGAATTGCTGTCTCACAGCACCAGCAACCCGGGCTCAATCCCACCCTCGGGTGACTGTCTGTGTGGAGTTTGCACATTCTCCCCGTGTCTGTGTGTGTTTCCTCCGGGTGCTCTGGTTTCCTCCCACAGTCCAAAGACGTGCAGGTTAGTTGAATTGGCCGTGCTAAATTGCTCAGAGTGTTCAGGGATGTGTCGATTAGGTGGGTTACAGGGGGATGGGTCTGGGTGGGATACTCTGAGGTTCAGTGTGGACTTGTTGGGCCGAAGGGCCTGTTTCCACACTGTATGTGGAATTCTATGATTCTATTCTATGAAGATGTTTCCTTTAGCAGGAGAATCTAGATCCCGAGGGCACAGTCATAGCGTGAAGGGAAGACCCTTCAGAATGGAGATGCGGAGAAACTTCTTGCCAGAGTGTGATAAATCTGTGGAATTCATTGCCGCAGAAGGCTATGGAGGCCAGGTCATTGAGAATATTTAAGATAGAGGTAGATAGGTTTTTGATTTTTAAGGGGATCAAAGCTTATGAGGAGAAGGTGGGAGAATGGGGTTGAGAAACTTATCAGCCATGATTGAATGTTGAAGCAGACTCAATGGGCTGAATGGCCTAATTTCTGCTCCTATGTCTTATGGTCTTTTGTGCCCTGACATTCATTGACGTTATTATCAGCGAACCCCCGCCCATTATCAACATCCCAGAAGCTGAACTGGACCAACCATTAAATATTGTGGCTACAACAGCAAGTGAGATGCTAGGTGTCATGCAGCAATTAACACAATTTGTGACTCTCCACACCTTGTCAGCCACCTGCAAGGCACATGGCAGGAATATGTCTGGAAGAGTGCAGCTCCAACAATGCTCAAGAAGCTTGACACCATCCAAGACAAAATAATCTATTTGATTGGTACCACATCTACAAACATTCAGTCCCTCCACCTCAAATGCTCAGTTGCAGCAAGGTGTACTATCAATATAATGCTCTGCAGAAATTCACCAAGGTTCCTTAGCACATTCGAAATTCATGGCCACTACTGTCTATAAGGACAAGAGGAACAGGTACATCCACCATCTACAATTACCCCTCC